CTTCCGATCCAAACTTGTTAAATCGGGAAAATTGCAAAAATGACCTTAAATGTCATTTTTACTTCACGGCATGATCCTCGCTTTTTAAAAAAAAAACAAGAACATCATCTCCTATGTTGTCAAAAATACCAAACCTTTTTAATTATTATTAAATTTAAAATAAAAATATTTTAGCTCTCTCTCTCCTCTCCCACCTCTCTCTTCGTTCGCATATGTCGAACTTGCAAACTCTCTCTCCTCTCAAACGTTCTCTGTCTCCAAGCTCTCTTCATTTACAACCTTTTTTTCAGCTAATTTGTTGTGAAAAACAAGCAAAAGCCTCAGACAATTCATCGATTAAACACATATATGAATAATCGATAAGTATTTTTCTAAAATTCATTATTAAGTGTGGACATTTGTGATTTGTTGTTTTGTCTTTATATTTAATTCATATGATACAGATGAAGCAAATATGACATATGTATAAGCAATACCATGATTCACGTGACTCAAACTGGTCGAAATCGTTAAATTTGTGAAATTCATCAAAATGGGAGAATTCGAAAAACTGGTCATATATTCGTGTCGAAATGGTCAACCTGATCATACTCCTAAACTGGTCATACTTGTCAAATTGGTCAAACTAGTCATACTCATGAAACTAGTGAAACTGGTCGTACTCATCAAACGATCATACTCTTCAAATTGTGTCATTTTGTCACATTTTATGTTTATTTTGTATAGGTATAATGGATGCAACTAATGAGATGATGATGATTATTTATTACAAATCTGGTGGCAAGTGGGTAGTGGATTCGATTAGAGAATATGAATGGGAAGAAAAAGCTAAAGATACTATGCTAACACTTTTAAAACAATGAATTAATCAATTTCGACAAGTCTGACCGTTTGACCAAGGTATGACCATATGACCGTCTGACCATTTGGGTATGAAAAAGAAAGGTCTAAATTAAATTTAAACGATTCAAAAAGTTGTATAGGGGTTATAAGAATACTTTTGCATCATTTTGATGTTCTAATTTCATGTGGAAAAAAATCTCTTAATATAAGTCAATTGTACTCAATGCGTTACAAAAACACTACTAGTACTTTAGGTCTTCTTTGGAAATAGTTATATTGTCAAACAAAAAAGTGTTCAATCCATATTGCTACAATAGATTTGAACTTAAAATATTTATCATATAATATGATTATTACTATGTTAACACTTTTAAAACGATGAATTTAGCAATATCGAACAAGTCTTACCGTCTAACTAAGGTATGACCGCCTAACCATTTGGATACGAAAAAAGAAAGACCTAAATTAAATTTAAACAATTCGAAAAGTTGTATAGAGGTTATAAGAATACTTTTGCATCGTTTTGATGTTCTAAGTTCATGTGGAAAAAAAATCTCAACATAAGTCAATTCTACCCAATGTGTTACACAAACACTACTAGTACTTTAGGTCTTCTTTGGAAGGAGTTACATTGCCAAACAAAAAAAAGTGTTCAATCCATATTGCTACGATCGATTTGAACTTGAAATATTTGTCATATGATATAATTATTACTATGTTAACACTTTTTAAAACGATGAATTTAGCAATATCGAACAAGTATGACCGTCTGACCAAGGTATGAATGTATGATTGTCTGACCATAGTATGACCGTCTGACCATTTGGATATGAAAAAGAAAGACATAAATTAAATTTAAACGATTCGAAAAGTTGTATAGAGGTTATAGGAATACTTTTGCATCGTTTTGATATTCTAATTTCATGTGGAAAAAAAATCTCAACATAAATCAATTGTACTAATGTGTTACACAAATACTACTAGTACTTTAGTTCTTCTTTGGAAAGAGTTATATTGTCAAACAAAAAAAGTGTTCAATCCATATTGCTACTATCGATTTGAACTTGAAATATTTGTCATATGATATGATTATTACTATGTTAACATTTTTAAAACGATGAATTTAGCAATATCGAACAAGTCTGACCGTCTGACCAAGGTATGACTGTCTAACCATAGTCTGATCGTTTGATCATTTGGATACGAAAAAGAAATGCCTAAATTAAATTTAAACGATTCGAAAAGTTGCATAGAGGTTATAAGAATACTTTTGTATCGTTTTGATGTTCTAATTTCATGTGAAAAAAAAAATCTCTCAAGATAAATCAATTGTACCCAATATGTTACACAAACATTATTAATACTTTAGTTTTTCTTTGGAAGGAGTTACATTGCCAAACAAAAAAGTGTCCAATCCATATTGTTACGATCGATTTGAACTTGAAATATTTGTCATATGATATGATTATTACTATGTTAACACTTTTAAAACGATGAATTAATCAATTTTGAACAAGTTTGACCATCTGACCAAGGTATGATCATCGTATGACTGTCTGACCATAGTATGACCGTCTGACCATTTGGATACGAAAAAGAAAAGCCTAAATTAAATTTAAACAATTCAAAAAGTTGTATAGGGGTTATAAGAATATTTTTGTATCGTTTTGATGTTCTAATTTCATGTGGAAAAAAATCATTCAACATAAGTCAATTGTACCTAATGTTTTACACAAACACTAGTTTTAATGTTCTTTAGGTTTTCTTTTAGGAGTTACGTTCCCAAATAAAAAAGTGATCAATCCATATTGGTATGATCGATTTGAACTTGAAATATTTGTCATATGATATGATTATTACTATGTTAACACTTTTAAAATGATGAATTAATAAATTTCGACAAATTTGATTGTCTGACCAAGGTATGATCATCTGACCATTTGGGTACGAAAAAGAAAGGCCTAAGTCATTGTTGAAGACATCAATGCTCTTGGCACTGTGAGCAAAATCTGATCGGTTTGATCAGTGTGGTATTTCGTAGCCAAAATTTCTCTGAAGATTTTCATCAAACACTTTCCATGCATTCTCAAATTTTTCAACTTTGGTGTGGCGGAATGATATTGTTCCATCGAATCAAATAGAATCGAAATGAAATCTTAATAAGCCAAAATTCTATATAAGAAGAACATGTTTGATTAACACTTATAAATTCGTAAATACATCATTTTTGAAAAAGTCTGACTAGTATGACCGATATAACCGTATGATCAGTCTGATGGTATGACTAAAGTCTGATCGTCTGACCAAAGTATGATCGGTATGACCAAAACCTGATCCTCTCACCAAAATATCATTGGTATGACCAAAGTCTGACCGATATGACCAGTATGGCGTTTAAGAACCAAAATTTCTCTGAGGATTTTTATCGAACACTTTATATGTATTCTCAAATTCTTCAACTTTGGAATGTCGGATCTCGAATCTTCTTCATGTAAAATCGGCTTGATTCATTTCATGAATAAAATGTGACCAATTAACCAATCAACCAAAAAAAAATCGGAATTGATCGATCTCTTTCTCCATAGTAGAGAAATATGTCTGAGTGTAAGATGAAAATTGAGAAATTTGTTGTTAGAGTCACCAACGAAATCTCTTTAGAGAGAAAAAGAAAGAAATTTTTGCGTTTTGAATTTTTAGAAAAAGTGAGAAGAAATTTTTCATTCAAAAGGTTTTTCATTATACAGAGAGTTGCCACGTGGTATCAGAGTCCGATTCGTATGATATAGATTATCTGATATTGAAATAGGATCGGAGACAATGGGATTACTGGATACGTTGGAATAGAGATGCACAAAGCAATACCTATAAAGTTTACTCATTTTCGTAGGTAACTACATTGTAATCGAAGGACCCCTTTCTGAATGAGTAAACCAAAATCTGGAATGTTGCTGGCTGGTAACTAAACACACTAGAGCTTGTTCCTATAACATCAAACAGATAATTAAGAGAGATGTTTTAGATTTTCAGTTTGTCAAATTATTGCTATGAGAAATCTACAAAGCAATATATATATATATATATATATATATATATATAGATAGATAATGGTGACTTGGTAATAGGTACCTCAGGAAATTCTTCGAGATCTTCAAAAGGTTTCTCCATGGAAGAAAAACTTCAGAATTGATGAAATTTTAGAGAATTTGAACTACGAAAAACGGGAATCTGATCTGGAAAAGATTGAAGAAACGGAAAAGAAAGATCAGAGCGGAGCGGAGCAAGATACCATATCAACTCGCCAGAAAGATGATCGGAGGGAGAGAATTCGTTATAGAGAGAGAAAACACAAATTGCATTTACTCTGTTTCCAGAAAATGTATAGGAGTTGAGCTTAAATACAAAGTTTTGAATACAAAGCTTCTCTTTCATTCTAAGATTTACACAATATACTCTGATAGAAGGTGCATGACAGTTGCAGTAACGGATCTATGACTGATCGCTAAATATTCTTAGCATGAGAAGGGTGCGTCCATAGCTCGAAGGTGAAACTGCGACGGACGCGGCGGTCGGTGCTTCAATTTGTATACAGTCTTTATTATCACTTGTATATTATCCTACCTTCCTTTTTAAACAACAGAAACTGGAGTTATATCCTCTTGGGTTTTATATTATCCGAGGAAAATAAATATGCTTATGTACATGGTACTTAGAACCGAATCTTATTACATTGAAAAATACGATATTTTTTTCGAAAATCAAAATTTTTTTAAATCAAATCGACTCGAAGCAGATTTTAAAAAAAAAATCCAAAAAATCGAAATGAAAATGTAAATTTTTTTTAATAAAAATCGGAACCGAGTCGAATATGATTTAATAACCGATTGATATATAATTTGGCAAAACCGAAAAAATCAAACCGAATCATTTCCAAATGGAAGACCGGAAACGCCCTCCCCTCTCCTGATCATGTGTACGATCAATGACAAATTTATTATATATAAAAATATTGTATTCTATATACAATAAATGAAGCAACATAAATAACAAACATTATTATATAATGCGAGGGTTTTTAGTTCTTCCCAAGGCTTGGTTGAACCTGAATAGAGTATCTAACTTTCCCAACGTACAGCTTATGCTTACCAAACGGGATTCTTCTATTCCCATTCTCACCCACGACGGCAAGATGCTCACAAACATCAAGTTCAACTTGAATTGTCTTTTTTGCCCCTGCCCCGACCAGAACTTTCTCGAACCCGACCACCTGCTTGATCAGACCCAGCGCGGTCGCCTCTCCGACCGGAGGTTTAGCGAACACGAAGAGAGTGTCGCTCCCCTCGACCGTCCCCGTGTTGGCTACATCTACCTTCAAGGATATTTTTGGTATTTTATCGCAGTTGGCTTGGGAGACTTCTACGTAATAGGGCGAGGTTTGTGGACTTGAAACCGGGACTGATATCTTGGTCGGTGGAGCTTGTAGGGAGGTGTGATTGAAAGTGGTGTAGCTTAAGCCAAATCCGAACGGGTAAACCACCGGGCCATTGTAGTACTTGTACGTCCTCCCCGGGAAACCTCCCGACGGTCTCATGGCCATGTTCGACATCGGGATTTTGTCCACGTAATCTTCTGGATACCACGTCATCGGTAACTTCCCACCTGTGAATTCAATGCGTGTGTATATATATATATATATAAATATATAGTATATCCTCGACATGGACCGCAATGCATGGAAATATGGTGATACCTGGATTAGCTTTGCCGAAGATGATATCGGCGATGGCGGCTCCACCGGCTTGACCCGGATACCCGGCCCAGACGATGGCCTTGACAAATGGGTCATACTGGGCGAATGACACGTCGATGGGGCCACCGCTCATGAGGACTAATATGGTTGGACCCCTTGAGGCTCGCGCCACACGAGACACGAGCTCTTGCTGGTGGCCTGGCAATAACAGAATCGTTCGGTCTAGTGATTCCGCCTCTATGGATAGATCTGTTCCCATCACGAGGATGGTAGCGTCGGCCCCACGCGCTGCCATCTCGGCCGAATCGAATTGTTCGTTTCCGGTGCATGAAACTCTCACACAGCCCTGGAGATACAAAGTTTGTGCATATCTAGAGATACCTTGTAGTGGAGAAGTGTAAGCACATGGTTTTCCTGCATAGTTTCCGATCATGGTTTGGGTCACGTCCGAGTTGGGTCCGATGACAGCTATGGTGCGGTGGCGCGTTGGGTTAAGAGGAAGCGCGTGACGGGCAGAATTTTTGAGAAGGACAATGCCTTGATGAGCTGCTGCAAGGGCCAGATCTTGATTGGCCCGAGTGCATACATCTCCTGGTCCAAGATTACCGTACGGACCAAGGTTCCCATCGAACATGCCGAGTCTCATTTGGACCGTCAAGGTGTTGACAACGGCATAATCCACGTCGGATTCATTCAATAGTCCCTTTCTGACCGCGCCCTCCGTATAGGTCGGCAAAAACGCCCCACAGTCCAGGTCTAGTCCTGCAAAACGACACGACATCACGATTAGAATATGTTTATGATTACCATTATTATTAATTATCATGGCTTGAGAGTAAAGTTACCGGCTTTGATGGAAGCCGCAACTGCTTCCTCCGGAGTTTTGGTGTAATGTTGTTTGTTGAAAAGCACTTCCACGGAGTCGCAATCCGAGACAATATACCTGTTTTTTTTGCATATATATATATATATATATACATATGAATATATCAATATGGAGAGCAATTTGGTTAGAAGAATTAGATTAGATAATCGGATTTTCACCCTTTAAGATTCCAATCGCCACGGACGATGTTCTTTAAGAGATCCACGTCAGTACATGTCGGTTTTCCGTTAACCTGGTTGTAAGAACACATCACACTTGCGACGTTTCCCTCTTTGACACAGGTCTGGAACGGCACGTTAAATGTATCTTCTAGATCTTGCTTTGTAACCTTCTCAATAAAAAAGGAAAAAAGTTTTTTTTTTGGTTATGTAAAGAGCATATATAAAAACTATATAATGTATGAATACTTACGTTAGCGTTGAAATGGAGACGGTCAATGCCCATCCAGTTATCAAGATCGTATGCGGTGTAATGTTTGCAACAGGCGGCGACTTTAAGACTGTCGCCGTTGCCGGAGCCTTGAAGTCCCCGGACGTAGCTGGCACCGTACTTCCCAGAAACAAAAGGATCTTCTCCGGGAGTTTCTTGGATTCGTCCCCATCGCGGGTCACGGACTATATTCACGTTAGGGCTCCAGTACGTGAGGCCGGCCGTACCTCCATTGTACATGGCCCTTGCCTCATTAGACACGACCTAAAATCATGCAAGCCAAAAACAACATATATATGTAAGATGTGAATTATAGTAATCATGCTATTACAGTCTTGAAAACTGTTAGTTGGATTGGAATCAAGGGCACAAATATTAACCTCTTTGAATTCAAATTATGAAACTGAATTCAAAATGAGTGTATAGTGAGAATGAATATATGGCCTTATATGCTCACCCGTCCGATCTCTTCCCAGAGCGACTGGTTGAAAGAGGCGGCGGTGGTGATGACTTGAGGGAAACTAGTAGCAGCTGGGTATGCACCACCGAACCTGGTGCCGGGCCCCACGTCTGAGACGCCGTGAAGAGCCTCCGACCACCACTTATACCATTGGATGCCGAGCCGAGGCACGGCAGCTGCGTTGTCGCCGAGAAGCTGGACCTTCTCCTGCAATGTCAGTCGTCCGATCAAGTCCTTTACTCTCTCCTCGATCGGTAGATCGACCCTGCAGAAAGGCAGCGTCCGAGCGAAAACGCTAGAGGGGTCGCACGCGAACGGCGTTCGGGCTGACTCAGCCACGTGGACCGACCACAACACGACTAACAAGATGCAATTAGTAGCCAGGATGTTCTTGCAAGACATTTTCATTTCTCTAAACATGTTAGTGATTCTCTCGTGGGTTTTTGATTGATTTTTGCTTGCATGCATGCATGCGTATTTAAATGGAGACTTCTATCAGTTGATAACTAAACGCTTTCTATTTTTGAAAAATCTCTGTTTAAGTATTGTCTGTCATTACTTAACCGTATATATCCATACGGATTCAAACAAAAACCAAAGGGATTATGACATCACTATGTTTGAAAAATCTGTAATAACTCATATTGTTTCCCAACTTATTCTATCTTCTTGTTCTATACAAACAAACTAAATTTGCACTCTGGATGAGACAACCGTTTCAAGTATTCTATTTTTACGTCAACCCTCCTTTTTTTTTTTTGTAATTGTTCTCTGCGTCCCAACAAAAATCTAAATGTTCATGAGAAGGACTTTTCCCGCTATTAACGTGGTCTTCCGCTGTGTTTCCATAATAATAAAATTAAATTATTGGAATATTTATATTTTAGACGATTCCATGAGAAATCCAGTTTCATACATTATAATTTAATTTGGAACAATCACTTAAATAATTCAAAAACTAATAAAAATGATTAAAATAGCATTTGAAAAAGAATTTCTGTGTAACTCTTAGATTACAAAACTTTTGTAACCCAAACACGCTCTACTTTGAAATTAAAATTTACATTATTTTTAAAATTACAATAAATTCTTTACTAGATGTTTTGAAACATACAATATTTTTTTTATTATTAATTATAACTTCTTTTTAACCATCTTAACAGAATCCACATCTTACTTTCTCTAATCAAGAAGAGTGGAGTCCATGTAAGGTACACCATGACAAGACAAGCAGAAAGTGCTAATGTCCAACGGAACTATAGAACAACTAGATATAATTGCCACGTGGCATCTTAAATTAAAAAAAAGTAGTAATTGATATTTGATTTTTTTAATAATTTTGTGATTAACACGGTTAATGACATGGTCAGGTTGCTGCTTCAAGTCCTCTCCGAACCTTGCAAGAATAGAGACGAGCCTACATCACGGTCCGGCTGCGCCGGCATGTGCACTAGAGACAACCCTTCACGATGCTCTCCGCCGCAGTACAGCCTCGTCCGCAGACTTCTCTGCCAACATTCGCCTTCATCGCCGCTGGCTCTCCCTTCTTTCCC